CCTGTTGCAAGCTCCCTCCTCCACACCACCGTCACGTAGGCAACCCACGCCAAGCTTACCTGCACAGAAAGAGAAAACACGTATGAATCTTCCGTCAATATGTCACACAAAGGGGAAAAAAATCATAAACAATAACACAAACAATAAACATATAAATACATGAACGATTTTTTTTTGTCAATAAAGCTCGCCAAAAAGAATCATCAAAAATAACAAAAACAACAAATATACAAAAATACATCAACGTAAAACACCACGCAAAAAAAACATAAGCAACAACAAAAAAACTATAAATACAAAATATATAAAACATTCGTCGGTAAACTACGCAAAATATCATAAACAATAACAAAAATGGCACACATACAAACACAGAAACCAAGTCTTCGTCATTAAACCACACACACACAAAGACAGAAAACAACAAAATAAAAAACGAAAGAAATAATAATAATTCTACAATACAATATCCAACAGACGGTCCAGCGGGACACAGCTGTTCTTTGTCATCATCCGCGGAGAACAGTCAGCATTCCAATGTTCTTACTAATACGAAAACGCACCTTCCATTAATGAATGGACGTGAGCACCAACTCCCCCCCTCACCTCTCACCCCACTCCCCCCCATGGTTCCTCTCCACTGCTGTACACCATTACTCCGGTTATTCCAAATGGCTTACGCATAGCTGATGTTTAGCACTATAATGGAGTACTAAATCTATTACTGTAATTTTGTACAATACCTATAATTTGTTGAGCAATCCATTTAAACACGCGCACTCGTGTGTGTGTGTTAATGGGAAAGATAGAAAAAGAGAAAAGAAAGAAAGAAAGAAAGAAAAATAAAAGGAGAATTCTATAAACAAACACATAAATAAGGGAGCGAAAAGAGATGATCGTAAGAAAAGGGGAGGAGAGGGCGATGGGAGGGGGTGAGGGGAAAAGAAAAAGAGGAGAGGTTACTGGAAGAAGTGAGAGGGGAAAAGAAAGAGGGGAAAGCATGAAAGACAGTGGAAAAGACAGAGGAGAGAGAGTGATGAAAGGGGAAAGACGCGAAAAGAAAGAGGGGAGAGGGTGAAGTAGGGGTGAGAGGGGGAAAATAAGAAGAAGAGAGAGGAGATAAGAGGGGGAGAGGAGGAGCGCTTTCAAAACATGCCACATTAAGCACCCGCTGTTCCTCCCTCAAGCAAGACATTTTCATCTTCGCGTTATATCTCTCTTTTTATTAAGTTTATGCCTTTCACGCTGCGGCCCTCATCTGCATGAACCCCGAGTCCGGACATTTGCAACAGAGTTTAGGCTGCTGCAACGAGGGTGCAACCTGCTCTCTTGCAAATAGTTCCCCTTCTTTAATGCCGTCTCCCATTCCGCGACGGCAAGGAAAGCGTAAACAAATATGTCTGGAGGGAAAAACAGGGAAAGGCGGGGGAGGGGAGCGGGGAGGGGCAGGAGGGAGGAGGAAGGGGGAGGGGGGAGGGGGAAAGAGGAGGAGGAGGAGATAAAAGGAACTAGTGGAAGCGTACGAGGAAAATGAGACGCCAAATACACACACAGACAGATACAGCACAGACAGAAACAAACACACACCCACACAAAGCAACTCAGCCACAAACAACACTAGATAATCTTTACAGAAGGGCCTCTGCTAAACTGAGTGAGTGAGTGAGTGAGTAAATTAAATGGAACGAATGAGTGAATGCAGGCATGAATGAATGAATGAATGAATGAATGAATGAATGTGAGTGAGTGCATTAATGGGTAAGTGAATGAGTGAGAAGGGAGGTGAGGGGGTAATTTCGCCAACGATCGCCATCACCCCTATCTATTCGTCACCAATAACCCAATCATAAAAAATAGTAGCAAAGATAAAATTCCTATGAAAATCGAGTTCCATGAAACAGAAAAAAGCGTAGCATCAAATCCCACGTCACTTGACCCCCCCCCCTTCTATCTCCACTCTCGCCTCTCCCTCTCTCATCTCTCCCTCTCGCCTTCTATCTCTACTCTCCCTCTTCCTTCTCCCACTCCCTACCTCCCTCCTCTCACTCTCCCATTCCCTCCCTTTCCCTTTCTATCCCTCCCTCTGCCCCTCTCTTCTTACTCCTCGGTCGAACTGGACTACGATCTTCGGACTGTAACAGCGCGATAAGGTTACTGATAAAACAGACAGACAGACTGCCCCCCCCGCTCTCTCTCTCTCTCTCTCTCTCTCTCTCTCTCATCTCTCTCTCTCTCTCTCTCTCTCCTCTCTCTCTCTCTCTCTCTCCTCGCCTCTCCCTCTCTCTACCTCCTCTCTCTCTCCCTCTCTCTCCCCTCTCCCTCTCCCTCTCCCCCTCTCCCTCTCTCCCCTCTCCTCTCCCTCTCCCTCTCCCTCTCCCTCTCTCCTCTCCCTCTCCGCCGGGTCGACGTACTATACTGGGTCGTAAAAAGATTTTTTCTCCCGTTTATTTCCTACATGTCTCTCTTTTCCCTCTCTGACGCTCGACATACTACATCACCCAAGTGGGTTGTAAAAAAAATGTTATTCTTTACGGCTGTTATCTTATTGGCTATTTTTTCTCCCTTTCTCTCTCCTTTGTATTTTTAGTGTTTTACGCCGGTCGCTCTCACATTCTTTTCCCTCTCTTTATCGCTATCTTCTCGATGTTTCCACAACCAGCAAAAAAAGAAAAAGAAAGAAAAAAAAATCCTTGGTCGTGAAAACGGGCACAGAACGCCCGAGATTGTTTCCTCGCCAAACTTTTCCGCAAAATGCAACTGCGCCAAAGCAAAAAGGGGTCAATGCTCAAGGAAAACGTTCGAAGGGAAATTTTCTTACATACATACAGCCAAAAGCAAAAAGAAACAAATATTTCTCTCCTTACTTGAGAGAAAACGCTAACCTCGTACCAAGAACAACAAAAAAGACGCAAGAACAAATACAACAAAATAGCAAAAAAGGACACCAATAAACGACCAGCAGGAAGTGCGGGAGTGCGTGAGAAAATACGAATTGCAGTGCACGAGTCCACCATTGCAGGACGGGGCGGGGCGGGGCGAGCTAAGGTAAGTGGGGGGACGGGGGCAGAGGGAGGTGATTGGATAAAGGGGGGAGGAGAGAGGGGGGATAGAATCTTAAATAAAGCTATTTAAACTAACCAAAATCCAAGACAGAACACTGCAATTGGGAGGCGGGAGGGAGATCGATGGGGGGAGGGGGACGAGTTGGTGTCGTGCAAGAGGATAAAATATCAATTGCAATATAAGAGCCGGGTGTCAGATTGATACACAGATAAGCGAGATAAACATAGGCAGGCAGGTAAGGCAGACAGACACAGATACACAGATTCAGATGGGTAGATACAAATCGACATATACACAGACGGGTGTGTATATGTGGCATAAATATGAGTATTTGCGTGAGTGAGTGAGTGAGTGAGTGAGTGAATGTGTGTGTGGATATGTATATGCATATGTATATGTATATGTATATGTATATTATTATATATATATATATATATATATATATATATAATATATATATATATATACATACAATACATACATACATACATACATATACATATATACATACACATACACACACACACACACACACACACACACACACACACACACACACACACACACACACACACACACACACACATACACATACATACACATATAGTATATATATATATATATATATATTATATATATATATATATATATACACACAGACAGCATATAGGAAGGGATCACAGACAACTGACACGACGACTGACTGATGACCCGAATCCTAGTAGCCGACCTAAAAATTAATTTGATTAATTCAGTGATGAAGTTCTCAATCAAAAACTTTTTTCCGACATGAAATACGTTTCCAGGTTTTTAAAATGCAAGTGAAAACCAATATAACAAATATAAAAATACTCCTCATCTGCTCAAATTAAGTATTCATGGAACCAGCAGCCTGGAAAAGTCAAAACATGAGCTCAAGACCAACTGGTATTGCTGTAAAAAAATAAATAAATAAATAAATAAATAATAAAAAATAAACAAAAAAATCAAATCCCACACAAAAGCAACTTCATTTTAATGTAATTATCGCAACCCATTTTTTAAAATATTCATTCTTTTAACCATATTACTTCTTTTTTACGCGAGGTGGTCTCGACTAAACTGCGTCTGATTATGACGGAAAAAGAACATCCGGCAACTCTTTGAAGTCTCTAAAATAAATAAATAAATAAATAAATAAATAAATAAATAAATAAATAAATAAATAAATAAATGAAGTGACGTTGAAGGTAGCCGACTGTGATAAGAAAAAAAAAACTGTCTCAAAAATAGTAACCTATGACAATGAGTCAGCTAATTACAATCAAAAAGCGATTTGATGAATCAGAAACCTTCAGAGTCAGCGTTGGCAATGTTTGTTTGTTTTCTTTTTTGTATATAACTTGGACACAGTGTAGACAATCGGTTCTACGAGACGCGGGCAGACGGCCGGTCGAGTAATCAATAGCGAGTTAACCGGCAAACTGACATACCGAGAGACCAAGAGACCGAGAGAACGGGAGACCAAAGGGCCGACAGACGGATAGACCGACAGACACAGAGACGGAGAGACCGGGATAGCGAGAGAACAAGAGACCGAAAACAAGAAACCGAGAGAACAGGAGACCGAGAGATCGAGAGGACATGAGACCGAGAGACTGAGAGAACAAGAGACCGACAGACCGAGAGAACAAGAGAACTGAGAGAACAAGAGACCGACAGACCGAGAAAACAAGAGACCGACAGACCGAGAGAACAAGAGACCGACAGACCGAGAGAACAAGAGACCAACAGACCGAGAGAACAAGAGACCGACAGACCGAGAGAACAAGAGACCGACAGACCGAGAGAAACAGAGACCGACCGAGAGAACAAGAGAGATAGACCGGCGACGACCATACCAGCGGCTTCTTACGCAAGCTGCATGCGCGGAGTGACGGCGACTTTCCCTTCGCCGGAAAGCCGTCACGGTCGAACTCCTGCCAGTCATTCTCGTATCACTTTCGTACGCACGCAC